ATAGGTACGATGATTACAATTTCTTCAACGAGAGTTTAAGTCTTTACGATAAGGCAGTGTGTGGTAAGGAAGACTTCAGAGGGAACGAGACGATGTTCAGGAACAATGTTGTGGAGTTGGGGAGGAATTTGAGTTTGCAAGCGCCCAGCAATAACGGGTTCTCTGTGGGCTCTGTGATTCGTGGGAATGTGTCGGTTTACGGGTTGGCTCAGTGCTGGAAGTTTGTGAATGGGAGCGAATGCCAAAACTGTCTTAATGATACGGCTGTGAGGATCGGCTCGTGTCCCCCCAAAGAGGAAGGGAGGGGCTTGAATGCCGGATGTTACTTCATGTATTCGACTGAGAAGTTTTTCTACAACACCACCGAACCATTTCCAAGAAATGAAGGTGAGTTCTGCTATAAGATATCAAAAGTATAAAGACATTAGAAAGGATCGCCGAATTGTAGTTCTTATCAAGAATTCGCAGTTCATGTGGCATAGTTGGTCTTTCTGCTCGATGATCCCTAGATTGTTGACTGAATCATATAATCATTGGTTGGATAATTTATCTTCCCTTGAATTTGCTTAAGATATTGATTTGAGTGAGTTGCCTGTAATTCTTGCCAGGACAGCAACGCTTGATCGTTCTGGCCGTGGCATCTTCTACGTTGGCTCTGCTACTAATTGTCGCGTTAGCTGCTTTCCTCATAAGGATGAAACTTGTCAGGAAGACTAGAGGTAAACGCCATTTGATGTAGCTGTTACAAATAGAACGTTCTTCTCAGCATGATATGTTATCTTACCCTGCTCTGTCTTCTGCTTCAGAAAAGAGGCAGTTGGGACTTCTGGCGGATGTAGTGAACAAATCCAAGCTGAACTTTTCCTATGAATTGCTTGAGAAGGCCACTGGTTATTTTCACCAATCCAGTAAGCTTGGACAGGGAGGGTCCGGCTCAGTTTATAAGGTTAGCGTTCCTCATTTCCTGTTCAAAGTAGGCATGTTACCCATCATGCTAATGGATAAATTTTTATTTCTCTGTATAGGGAATTTTGCCTGATGGGAAGCCTGTTGCCATCAAAAGGCTGGTATTTAACACAGGACAGTGGGTTGAGCATTTCTTCAATGAAGTGAACTTGATCAGCGATATTGATCATAAAAATCTGGTCAAATTGTTGGGCTGCAGCATCACTGGTCCTGAGAGCCTTCTTGTTTATGAATACATCCCCAACCTAAGTCTTCATGATCACCTTTTTGGTTTGTGGCTCTTCTCTGCATATTTGAGTTAGAGCTTTTCTTTTTCTAATTCCTAATTGATTGAAATGATGATCACCCAATTTGATGCAGCAAAAAAGAACGTTCCACCACTAAGTTGGGAGATGAGGTGTAAGATCATCTTGGGTACAGCGGAGGGCCTGGCCTATCTTCATGAAGAGTCGAGCTTAAGAATCATACACAGAGACATTAAATTAACCAATGTTTTGCTGGACGAAGACTTCATGCCCAAGATTGCTGATTTTGGACTAGCTAGGTTATTTCCAGAAGATGCGACTCATATCAGCACCGCTGTCGCTGGTACATTGTACGTCTCATTTCCTTTATCCCAATTTCACTTGCCTTTGGGTAGTGCCTAGTTAGACATTTATGTGCGTCAAAACACTAGCTTTAGATTGTGAATGAGGTGAGTTTAGTTTAACTCCATCATGTTTCTGCTGTGTGATGTTGAGGAAGTGAAATGGGAAACAATTAAAAGCACAGAAAAATTCCTGAGGTGATATGGTAGCATCTACTACTGATTGTTGGAAGTTGGTGAACCACGGTTTGTTCAGATGCTTACTCATGATGGATACATATTTCTAATTTACCCTTATTGTAATTTGAATTTGATTTTTGTAGGGGCTACATGGCTCCAGAGTATGTCGTTCGCGGCAAATTGACTGAAAAGGCAGATGTCTACAGCTATGGCGTTCTCATGATGGAACTACTCTGTGGAAAGAAGAATTATAACTTCTCCGAGAGTTCCTTTTCTATCTTACAAATGGTAAAGTTATCTTTTCAACCAACAGTCCAACAAATCCTGTTACTGGTTTAGAAACTTATGTGAGAACCTGATGCTTTGTCTTGTAGGTGTGGAATCTGTATGGATCGGGTCAGCTGTGTGAAGCCATAGATCCAATTCTAGAGGGGCAATTTCAAGAGGAGGAGGCATCCAGGTTACTTCAAATTGGTCTACTGTGTGTGCAAGCCTCCGCAGAATTGCGGCCATCAATGTCGGTGGTCGTGAAGATGCTGAACAAAAGCTCTGATATACCTGCGCCAACACAACCGCCGTTCCTCAATTCTAGTCGAAGCACGGAATGCAGTGTGCACGTGTTTAGTGGACCTTATAGTTCTCGCCATGAGTCAGACACCCAGTCTACTGGCAATGCAACAATGACCGAGAGCTGGGTTGAGCCTAGATAACATTTTGTTTCTGATGCATCGCTCTGGCTCTGTCGTTCCGGATTATGTTGGTGAAGCTTCTCCCAGTGGTTGCATGCCGACTCAAGTTATGAAATGGATCATTAACTTATGGAGGTTCTGGCAACACAATATACGAGCTTCTCGTCACGTTCCCTGATTAATTCGGAAGCCACTAGCAGTTTGAGGATTTCACAGTACACATTCTGAAATTCCCAAGCCCCGTTTAATCATTCGGAGTCTTTTGAATGCTTCAGCAGAGATGAGGGGAACTTCACGAGTAGATTATATATGTTCAGTGAGTCACTTGTTTATTATCATTACTTGTATAGAGTTATTACATATGTTTAGCTCTCACAACGATCATTAACTACTCATTCTTATTATAATTAAACATACATGTAAATGACACGATCCTTCCTTGGTATTGCATTCCTATTGTATCTTATGTTGATGCCGAATATGATTCTGAATTCTCATAGCTACACGATTTGATGGAGCTTTCAGAGAAGGAAACGAGCATTTCAGTTTCTGCATTGTAAATCTCGTTTCTATCTGCAAATGGTCACAAAATGAGCCTCCTTTCAACTCTCCTTTTCCATTAAGATTCTGAGAGCCTAAGCTTGGAAATCACCTCAAGCGACGGTGTTTTATATTATTTTGTCATAGTTTGGGTGGTGATGACTCGTGCGATGACGATTTTCGGGTGATGATGACTTGTGCGATGACGACTACGTGAGTGAGTTGTTACACCCTAATCAAGATTGAAAAATGCCTTCTCTATCCAGAGACCTTAGCCATCATCCAATGAGCCTTCAAGGCCATTGTCTCTCCTGGCTTTGAAAGTTTCCCGACACGTAAAGTTTGACTACCACTTTCCGCCGACAGCCGGAGGGGTAAATCTGGGGTGACGCTAGCGTAGGACCCATCACCACGGCGCCACACTTAAGAATCCCTAACGACTACGCTGGGGTTCGAAATCCGATCCCTTCGTGGGGGGACAAGAGTGCAAGCCAACGCAGCCGCTGCGGGCGGTGGTTGAAGCGGCTTGTTTCTTTGCTGATAATAGTGAAAGGACAACTACCAAAGCAACATCTGTAATTTCCACCCGCAAAAGTATGGTTCATACCCAACTACTGTTGACGAGCCAACAGCATATGAATAGACAAGAAAACAACTGAGCAAAGGGGAGATTGTCTTAACTGATTAGCAGGTCGTGGATTCTTCTTTCTTTAATCCACCGAGAAAATGAAAAGAACTCGTGGAGTGGATAGCCTACTTTTGCTATTGGGTGCATTTCTGATTATAGCTAGCTGTTTGTTTTTTCCTTGTCATCTTGAAGATCTTGACAAGGAGCTTGAGTCCCTTCCATTTCAAAATAGTGGCTGCCTGATGACGAAAGGCTTTGTTACTTATCTTCTAATAGGAGAGGAGTGAAAATGAGAGTAGAGCAAGATGAAATTAAGAGGAGAGGTGAAAATTACGTAGCCTGATTGGACCGATTCGTGTATGCCTAGAACTCAAGATCGGTACCCGAATCTGCCATCGCGAAAGTCTTAAAAACAAGTAGCCGCTAGAAATGGGATTTTCTGTTACTTTCTTCGGATGCTAAGATCCGATTATGTAGTTTCGCGATCGGGAAACACGAGGATTGCAGTTTGGCGAAAAGGAGGCCTGCGACGAGGACGTGCTAGTGGATCCACTGATGCGAGGGGAAAGAACGAGAAGTACAACGTCAAGGACAAAGAAAGTATGGTGCACTTGTTAGGAACGTCAGCTTTGACATCAATATCCTATAACCTTTACTAAGCTTGAAAAGGCTCAGCAAAGTCCTCACTTACATAAACGTGACGGGCCAAGAGGAATGTATGAATTGTCGCCGCTCTATTGTTAATTGTTAGAAGCTAATCCAATCAATCTCTTGATGACAACATAATCCAGATACGTTGGCTGCTTGATCTGCAAATACAAAATTCACGAACACTGACATTCTACGAATCTAGCGACTACATTCAAGGGGGGTTCGTCATCCATCGGAACCAAGTGTAGTATAATAGAAAGATCATTGAAACTTTTTGGCTTTTGATGATGAGAAATGGATATATCATACTTTCTCATATCAGCACTTCTCTCTCAGCCATTGGCTATGTAAGGCTTGTGAGTAGTAACATTGGCTTCTTCACTATCTCCTTTGTGCAACTCACAAAAATTCGTGGACGGCCTGCCTATCGTGTACTCGAGTCAGATGGGCATGGAAAACTTCAGGCAGTGTTCCTTTCGTGGCTCTTATTAAGCACAGAGACGGAGAAAGAGGCTATACCTTACCCCAGCCAATGCCGTGCAACCGGCAAGTTGAAGGACAACGAAGTAGCTCAGTTAGGATTCTTCATTGTCATCTTTGTTTTCAAGTTCTTTTCTATGTATTAACTATCATATCTGAATGAAATAAAAATGGTGTTTTCAACATGAAACGTCACCAAGATTCATCGAGCTAAACATGCAGATCCATGGCTCTGGCAGCCCTTTGCTCATCAGTACCAGCAGAACAAGCAGAAAACATGTGCGAGGAACAAGTAGGGAATCCATTCATCTTAATTTCTTTTTTCTCGAGCAAAAAGAGGTCACACGCTCAGTTTCTCTCACCTTTTTACATTATGCAAGCAAAGAAAGATATCAACAGCATTATTTGCATTTCACAGGCTACAACTTGACAATGGAAAAGCATATTATACAAAATACTGTCATCTAGGACCGGAAAGCTCCATCGCTTCTACGAGTGAATATTCTTCTATGAAATCTGCATATCTATGAGGAGGACTTGAACCGGATAGGCACCGTGGTGTCTCAGCCCTTTGGGAGGCATCTTGGTTATCAGCCAAGCCATCATCCTCGAACATCTTTAGTACCTCGGACATTTTTGGCCGCTGCAGGGGATTAACTTTTGTACATAACAAAGCAACTTTAACCATTAATTCTAACTCGAGCCTGTTGAAATTATCCCGCAAATTCTTATCTACCATTTGGTTCAGCTTTCCATCCTCATAGAGCTTAATTACCTGCAAATAAGTATCAGAAAGATGCAGGAGCAATAAGGCAACTGCTCCATGAAACATAGGATACAATATACAAGAAAGGAGAAGATGCTGAATCACCAGAGAGAGAGAGAGAGAGAGAGAGAGAGAGAGAGAGTACCCAATCAAGCATTACGCCTTTTTGATTGGGTATGCGTCCAAAATCCAGGGCTCTCTGACCGGTAATCAGTTCGAGGAGCAAAATACCGTACCCAAAAACATCTGTTTTTTCTGATGACTGACCGGTTGATAAGTACTCTGGTGCAATGTGGCCGACTGTACCACGCACTGCGGTGGTGACGTGGGAATCTTTGTGATCCAAAAGTTTCGCCAGCCCAAAATCCCCCACAATAGCCTCAAAATCTTCATCCAGCAAGATATTTGCTGCTTTTACATCCCTATGAATAATTTTGGGCTCACATTGCTCATGCAAATATAGCAGCCCCCTCGCCGTACCTAAAGCTATCCTCCTTCGCCTCGACCAGTCAAGAGCCGGCTTCCCATGAATGTGATCTAAATAGGCCAGCACAAACTTGCCAAGTTATTCCAGAGTGGTGCCATTTTGGAGAACCTTTACAGTTGAAGGAGATGGGACATACAGACATAAAAGAAACTGAAGCTACAGCTGCGAACACCGGTCATGGATAAATAAATTTGATAATTTAAAATAATGTCCACAAATACAAAAAAAATTCTTGTCCTCAAGGTAGCTACTGACTCTTGTAATTTTAGTTCTTAACGTCTTGATGACATGATAATGCATGGCATTGCAATTGGTGGGATTCAGGAACAGTTTATAAGTATGAAAAGAAGCGATTGACTGTAGTAGGTCTACGTGTGCAACGAGGATTGGAGGCACTGTAGCAATGCGAAAATGTGTTTGTCCTGATAACAATGTAGGCTCATCAGTCATCATTTAATGGTTCAGCGCCCTATAAAGTTTCATGGAGTGAGCTTCTGCACAAGTCATTCTACAGAAATCACGAAAGTGCGATGTCAAAAACCTCTATCTTAATGATGGTTTTGATGCGAGTGGAAGTGTAGATGTTTTCAACTTTGAAGGGGGCTAAAAAAAAGTAATATAAGCACAAAATAAAGTTAGCTGACCCCTTAAGCGAGATGCCACACTTCCATTTGGCATATAAGGGTAGACAAGAAGACGTTCATGTTCAGTAGAACAGAAGCCGGAAAGCCTGAGAAGATTTCGGTGTACGGCCAAGCTTATCATCTCAACTTCCGTTTGGAACTGGATTTCACCACCAGATGTATAGTAGTCCTTAAGCCTTTTGACAGCCACCAGAGTCTCGTCCTTCAAGCGTCCCTTGTATACAATTCCAAATCCACCTCTGCCTAAAATATTCTTTGAGTTGAAATGATCGGTTGCAGCCCAAAGCTCCTTAAAAGGGTATCTTCTCAAATGGCCCATGAATATCTCTGGGTCACATTGATCTGCAAGATAGAATGTTAAAGCTGAGAATGCAGGGAAGGCACAATTAGTTGACATGCTTGCTAAGAGTTTAGCTAGATAAAATGTGCAGACCTTGCTTATTCATGAAAATTAGGGAAGCAAGGTAATTTCAAGGCCTATTCACAACTATAAAATAAGAAAGTCTGTCAAGTTCAATCTTGGATACAATGCAAAACACTGCAAAGAAATGCTGCAAGACGGCCTGTGAGTTTAAGAACTTTGTGGCCATTTTTATTTCATTAGAATAAAAACTAACATAACATTAGTTTCAAAACCCCATATCATATTATTTCATAACCCAAAGGATCCAGATTTATGTTTCCTCTGATAGAATATGCTGCCAATTGTGGGGTTTGCATATCCAACAATATATGTCTGATAGTGAATTGACATGCTAGCATAACAAAGCTACCATACAACCGCAGAAACATTGCATACTTCTTGAGTTTACACCACTGCAAAATAATGGCAGAGAGAGAGAGAGAGAGAGAGAGGACAACAAACCATTTGCTTCAAAGAAAATTTGTTGTCTGTGTTTATACCACCGCCGTACAAAAATCCCAACGAAGATGATGACAAAGAAGGCACTTCCAAAGCTTGCACCAAAAGCAATTACCACACGATGACTTCTTATTCCAGAGGCTGGTCGATCTAGCCAACCGCGAAAATCAGTAACTTATAACATCATCAAGGCATATGATTTTCAGTTCTATTACGAAACCGAGGAAAAATAGCAGGAACACAGGAATTTGCTACCTTTTAGAGCATCTGGAGGAAGAGAAAGTGGCTCAGGAAGGACGGTATTACAATTAGCATCGCCCTTGTGTCCACAAATCAAAGGGTTACCAGTGATTCTGCTAGAAACAGAAAGTTCAAGCGATGTAGTAATTGACAAACTCACGATTTGTACAGAGAGAATATGCATTTTCCAGGGGAATTGCAGCTTACATGAAAGTCCTTGCTGATATATTCGGCAGAGGCCCACTTAAATTGTTGTATGAGAGGTCTCTACAAGCCAATTTTAGAATGAATTTCAATTTCACAATGAGGTAACGGAAATGAGATATCTATTATATACTGATGCAGAGCAAGGACATACAATAGGGTGAGGCCTTTAATGTTAGACAATGATTCAGGGCAGGGTCCACTGAGACTGTTATTGTTCAAGCGCCTGCTTCGGGCAAACAATGGCATACAGTAGTTAGGGTCAAACCATCCCATTTTTCATCGTTCGTATAGAAAGGATTTTAGCTATCTGGACATGCAAAAATAGTTGAAAGTTGCAAATGGCAAAATAAAGTATTAAAAGATTACAGATAATTCAGTTCCTTCAGGGAACCCAGAGAACTCGGTATTTCTCCACTGAACATATTGTTGGAGATATCAAGTCTTTGTAGCTTCTCCAGCATCCCAATAGAAGCAGGAATTGGACCTGAAATATTGTTATTCTGCAGCAACCTGTGAATATATCTAAGCATGAGCTTTGATGAGATACGATTGAAATGCTTTCTTCACAAATAATCAGAAACAAAACTCAGAAGCATGGAAGCTCCAAATTAGAGAGACCAGGTGAGTTTTCTTTGTTACTGCATGAAACATCTGTAATCAAGCACAACTTGCACTAGGAAACACAGTTCATAACAAAATTTGAGATTACCTATAAGCAGAAAGATCTATCAACTAACATGCTTGACTTCCAAACACCTTACAAACAAATTACATCAGCTTCACATGCACAAGAAATTTGTAGTTTCAACTAATTATTCTAAAAATTATGATGGGCCCAACACGTGAACTTCATGACAAAATTATGTCCAAGCTAGTTGAAAATGTAACTTTTCCTGCTCATGCAAAGTTGATGTAGGTCATTTGGAAGGTTTTTAAGAGTTCGCTTTAAGTGAAATACACTGGAAATTTAGCAATCACCAAAATGAGAAGGAAACAGCTTACACAGACTCCAAGTTAGTAAGATTCTCCATTGCCGGAGATAAAGTCCCGGACAAGCTCTGACTAGGAAGTCCCCTGTTTAGAAATAGAAGAGCCAGTACTCATGAACAAGCCATTCTGAGTTGAGAAAATGAAGGATTTGTGATAGATTTTCGTTGTGGTATTTGAGAAGCCTAACGCTACTCACAGAGAAGACACAGAGCCGTCTGGCGTGCATGTCACCATCCTCCATCCACAAGGATCTACAGAGGTCCTATCCCAGCTCTCCAGAACATTGTACGGGTCACGAAGTGCAGCTTTTATGGTCATTAAAGCGACAACTGTTCCAATTACAAATGGGCATGAATCAAGAGTTATTGCTGTGAATTAATGTTATTGACATATCTTTTTCGGCTTCCCAGTGCACGCATTAAATAAATTTATTGACATATCTTTTTCTGAACTGAAGCAACGCTACCCGATGTTCAAGAGGTGCTGTACGGAAGGCCTAGAAGTTCTTGAGGCCCCAGCACCACTGGAATTAATGAAAACTGGAATAGTAACATCCACGTTGAAAACCAATGGAGTTCAAACTCCATATCGGATTTATAATTTCCCAATTGGAGAAGAATCTCAACACATGGCAGTTTTAAAAACAAAGAAAAACTTTACATGCTGTACTCTGAGAAACTAGAGCGGCATATCTACAGATTTCCAACAAAATGAACAACTCTTTTCTTACTGCAAGTAGGAGAGAGAGAGAGAGAGAGAGAGAGAGAGAGAGAGAGAGAGAGAGAGTGACCTTCATAGTTTATACCAGAAGGAGAAAGAGAGGCAGAGGAACTCCCCAACCATGCCAAAACCAGCAAACTCAATCCCCACAACACAGATTTCATCCTTTCCATTCTCCTCACCAGTACACAACACTTGCAGTGTTCAACATCTAGTCAAGCAGTCCCCACTCATGAAAAACTCAAAAAGAGCCATTTTTTCACATTAAATGACCACTTTCTGGAAAAGGGTCTCTGGATGGACTCCCATCAAGCAAGACTTCCGTCACCCAACAAGAACTCAATCCTACTAAAGGCTGCTTCTTGAACGGCATCTTCAGGTGCCCAATTCACTGTCATGCGAATTCCCAGTCGGAAACAGGCCAATGGCCCGATTTAAGTAATATGAAAGGAACAAAGCAGAGTCTAGGATAAAACAAACAGTAAAAAGAAGGGACTTTTGTCGAGAAACACTCAAGAATCGAGTTTAAAGTTCCAAGATCCTAGAGATCTGAGAATTCCCATCGAGAGTGCAAGGTTTTGTATTCGGTGGCTCCACTCCGACCTCAACTTGCCCTGTTCCTCTCCCCCCTTCCAATTCCACCTCCCTTATCCTCTTCTTCTTCCTTCCCCCCTGTTGTTTACCATGCAAACGTGACCGAGTACAGACAAAGGGCCCAGTAAAAAGAAAAAGATTCAAGACAACAGACTGGCAAAAGGGCCAACACACTGGAAATGCCAAAAGCGGACACGGTCACTGACGGCAAGAGAGCCCACCAAGTTTCCAAAATTCTCGTGCTTACGCTTTCAAAAAGTAGTAATGATGATCCAAAGATGCTTTTTCAGTGATGGCGATTAGGGAGGGAGTGAGAGAGAGAGAGAGAGTGCATGGAGATTGATCAAAAAGCTCCAAAGAGAGAGAGAGAATGGATGCAACTGTGTCCGCTGGGAGACAGTGAAGCACGCCCCCCCTCCTCTGAGGGCCACGTGCCTGTCTTGTCCTGGTTCTCTGCTCATCTGTTGCCTTGGCTTTTCGTCCTGTGACATCCATTCGCTCCTTCGCCACCAAGAAAGTAAGAATGATCCTGTTCAATATCTTTGCAGGTTTGTGACCCACCGAGCTAATACGTACCTAATTAGTCGAAACAAAAGTGCTTCAAATTTTTCGATCCGATTTCAAAACTTGTGTAGTCATGAATTATTGTTAATTGTGAGGAATTAATATCACGAAAAACCTCAAACTGATAAACTATAACAAATTTATGCTCTCTATTTTACCGTCAAGTTACTCATTTGAATGACACATGGCAATTGATGAGTATAACAATTTGGAATTTTACCATCTATTTGTCATACCAATTTGTAATTTTTCATAGTATTAATCTCATTTAACAAAAACTAACGGATGGTAAATTTGTCACAAGTCTACCGAGTTGGGGTTTTTGGTAGTAAAAAAATTAGTTTGGGGTAAATTTATCACGGGTATACCAGTTTAAGGTTTTTTGTGGTCAAAAAATTAGTTAGGGTAAATTTATAACAAATATACTAGTGTGGGGTTTTTCGTGATGTTCACTCTAATTATGAAGACATTTTTCATCAACTCATTTTTGTAAGCGATAATAGTTATTAAAGTTGGTGAAATATTTTTCAAATTGTTGATTTTCGCGAAACAGAACTCGTTTTCATCATTATTGTCAACATTCACCTATATATGAATAGACCAAGTGAATCTGAGTCCCACTTCTTGCTAGTGGTGGACTTTAGGTGATCTCGCATAGTCAAAGTTGCATTAGCCACTTTGCTCAGACCACAGTTTAGGTAAGTGTGTTTTTTTTGGGTGGGCAGTTATTAGGTAAGTTTCTTTTCTTCATCCCTGTTGACAGTGTTCATTTTCAATCAATTTGAAGATTTGGTTCCTGACTTTCATGAACTTGTTGTGAAGCAATCTCTTTGTGTGATCATTTTGTCAAAGTCATAAGGAGCCTACTTTCACTTGGCCTTCATATGGGACTAATGATCATACTGACTATTATATCAATTTTACCTTATGGTAATTTATCATTTATATCAATCGGACGACATTATTTTCATTCATGAATTATTTCTTTTTAAATGTAAAATAGGATGTGATGACAGCATTTAATGGCGACTTAACGGTCACGTCGGCATTTCCATCCATAATTTGGACAGAAGGATCAATTTAGACAAGGATTTTATTAAAGAATGTCCGGAGAGCACTTGATAAAGCATACATTAGATGAGATATAATTTACTTTTCAAAGCAGTAATTACTTATGACACAAAGCAATCAATGCATTGAAAACTAAGGATGAGCAAGACGGACCGCCCGAACTGAGAACCACTCGAACCAGACCAAACCGATCGACTCTGGTAGGTTCTAGGGGGTGCCTGTCCGGTTCTCGATTCCATCATGGAATCGGTGATTTTCGATGTGGTTTTAAGGTGGGAATCAGACCAATCGAACTAGACCGGTTAGACATATTTTTTATTTTTTATTTTATTAAAGAAAACAAATATACACTAATTGGCCTTCAATCTTTCCTTCTCACAATGCCTCCAGTTTTTCCCTCACGCCTCGTTCTTCACTCTTCGGTCACTCGGCTCTCACTCGACAACGAGATCTTGCTCATCAACAGCCTAGTCTCCACACTTCGGTTTTAGACCGCTGCTCCCTCTTATGGAGAGTCCTTCATCAAGAAACGTTCGATTTCTCTACCTGTTCTGAGCTTCCTATTTCGCTCTTCACTCTTGGGTCTCTCGGCTCTCGCTCTTTCGGCAGCCTACTTCACTCTCGCGGTCTCGCTCTACACTCTTCAGTAATGCTCTGTTCAAGTTTGTTTTGAAGCTTTGCCTTTCGAATTTGCTCTAGATTTTTCGTTGCGTCCGGGTCTTGCATTTGTGTTTGTTATTATGCAAATCTGTGCGGTGATAAGCAAACTCGTTGTTCACATCTCCCTTCCTTTGTAGAGCCTCTTATTGTAGGCATTGCTTATTCTTTTTGCATCCCTGTGGAAGAGGAGCACAACGCCTATCTCATTGCTCGGTCATCCAATCATTGCTAAGTGACCGATTCTATTGGATCAGACTGAGAACCGATCACCTCTATTGGAAACTACAAAATTTCCTTAATTAGTAGATTAACAAGTATTTTTTGGGGCACTCGTTGAACGAAACCCCAAACACAAGACCTAGAATCGATGAGGGCCGCAACGCCCTCACTGAGTACCGCGAGGGTTGTCGGCCCACAATAAGAAAAATAGAAATATGGGAAAAAAAAGAAAAAAAAATGAAAAATTACAAAAAAAAAATTTAAAAATTGTAAAAATTGGCCACCAACACCAACCTTGCTACGTAGGACGACTAATGTCCATGTCAGCAATTTCCAATCAAAATTGAGTAGAAGGAGTAAATTGGCAAATCGGCAAAATATTTAGGACCGAATTGGCCAAATTAAAAAATTTAGAACCGAGTTAGCATCCGTACAATAAATTTATGGCTTTTTGGGTAATTTTCTTCTCCCGTGAGCATCAAACGAGTCTTACTAAAGGACATTTCGCTCATCCAATAAATCCCAAAGTTCACCTAAGCAATACTTAATTGGGCACTAATCACCATCAACTTTCATAATTTAATGACGGATTACATCATCGGAACACCGAACCGCAACCCTATCTCTGTCGCTGCTGGCAAAAGCTGCGGGGGGGGGGCGTGGCAATCATGCTTATGGCCCGATAATGATGTTGATGTGGCCCTTCCTTTTTTATACCGTGGGGAGGGGGGGCCTAATCGAATGCCGATGGCGACATTTGAAAATGATCCCTATGACCATTAATTTCACGACATTCTAGTTTCGCTCGCCCACGCAATTTATATTAATATATACATAGACATATAATATAATAGGTGTCTAAAACAAACGTCAATTATTAGGCAGAGAATTCCTCTGGCCGTGCTAACGACCCATGTAGCTTTCGGCGGTTTGGTAATGAAACGAAAAGATAATAATCAATAAACAACTCCAAGATTCCGCCCCGGAGCCAGTGACCTAATGCATTTCATATTAGCATTCTCAATCATAGTCCCTTTCTTCTTACGACCAGAAAAAAAAAAGAGCGAGGGAAGATGCGATCGCTCGAAAAGAAAGAATCGTGATCATTTTCTGGATACCCGTTTTGGCGCAATACTGCACAAAATCGCGCATGATATTTGTTGAAATTGGTATCATTGTGTTATTCATTTTTCAAAAGTTTAGGGGGAAATACTAGGAAAAAGAAGGGGTTGGTGCAATTATAGGGGAGTGATGTGGAGATGATTATCGTGGAATTAAGCAGGACCCCCTATTGACATGGCTAGTAGAGAAAAGAGGGGCCTATGGATGTGATGGTGGCAACGAAATCAAATTCAGAATCCAAGCTTTGTCATTCGGACCAGACCACCATCGCTCAAAGTCAATTAGATTCTGCCTTCTTTTGACATTTTTGGCTTTGTAAGACTGGCCATATATAGAGATATAGATGGAAGTCGACTTTGAGGGGCTGAAAGCCAACTTCTCTCGCTTCTAGGTAGCCATGGCTACCGGGGCGTACTCATGCCGAATCACGCACGATACAACCTGAAACGACATGACACCACCTTTCGGTGCGACCGGCCGTGTCATGCGTCGGGCCTTCACATGATACAAAAGAAAGGATGATCTAGAAAAAAATGATAAGATTATTTGAGTACTTGTACGTTCAGAATATGTCATATGTCTCCTAATAAATAAAATCGAAATTTTGAGAGTCACTAAATTTGCAAATTATCGAAAGTACACGTGTCACTCCCAAACAAGTCCCATCATGTATGCTGCGTCCTGGGATCGGTTGTCTTATTATTTGTTTCCTCCCTCCATTCATTTCCTAGTCATTTTCAGTCATTAACTAGTTTATAAAAGAATACAAATTCCTCATTACGGGTGGGTTCAAACGAAATTCATCGTATCGACTTTTTACTGTGAACTAGCGAGAAAATTTACAAAAAAACCACATTCGATATGGAAATTTCACGCATAAACTTGATGAACGAACATACCCATGACTTTCTTGTTTCATGGCACGGAGATATCCAAACCTTTCAAGTTAACTAAGAATAAGAAAAACACATAAAGCTCGCCGTACAAGGATCTACACCCAAGATGGCGGGTTCCGCTTCCGCCGTCGATATTTCCGTTCCTTAGTTTTTCCTATGTGCCGGCCGAGCAAAGGCGAATCGTCATCTGGTTTAACGCAGGAGAATCGCAATGAGAAAGAGGCGATGTAGCAAATCGAACCGGACCTTAATCCGATCGAAGGACAGAACAGACACGCCTCGTTCTGCTGCTGATGGGCCGCTTCAATTTCGTCATGCCCATGTCGTCCACGAGATGGTCCAGAATGATGCCCGATAGGCCCATACAGGCCAATTCTCTCTCTCTCTCTCTCTCTCTCTAACTCTATTTGTCTCCTTTTTTGACCCGATTGGTAGGACCCGGAATTCCATCGGCTACGGCAGGCAGTGGCAATAAGGATTTTCAAAGGCGTTTTCGCAATTGTTGTCATCATATCAAGCAGGAAAAAAGTGAGTTAGCTTCTTCGCAACCCCGGGGACGTGCCGCCGCCCCCCCGTTTAACATCTGAAGACTTGTCTTGTCTATCCCGGGGAGTGTCTATCCAGAGCGGAGCAGACCGTGGCTCCGTTTATTTCGTGAAAAATGAATAGTTTGAAATGATCGTTTGTATCACTTATAATAATTAGCCAATATAAAATATTTTCTTCATAGATAACAATTTATGCCTAGATATTTCGTAGACGATGAAAATATTTTCCGTTCATTCGTTTTTATGAGTAATGCCGGTGATTTTTTTTTTTTTTGAGATAAAATGTTTTCTGATTCATTTATACGTCCAGTGAAGCGCAACTCCACATCCATACAAAAAAAAATTCAGTTAACTATATCTCGATGTCACCTTATGAAAACAAGAACAATGCAACCACCACCAGCAACAAGGCAATTTGGCGAAATGGGAGCACTATCGTAGCCTTATTATGAAGTTGCTCTTGGAGTATTCAGCCTTCTCTTCTCGTCTCGGACTCTCGCTCTCGCTTTCTACTTCGCAACAACCCGGGATGGAGTTTTGCAAATGCTCGTAGATCCAGCAACGGCGCTGCTCATGAGCTTGCAATTTGGATTTTTTCATCATATAAAGCTACTCAGCGAGAACACTTTGTTACCCTCCAGATACTTTCTGATTTTCGTCATCATCCTTTTCTTTTTAACAGCCTCCTATCTAAACTTGAAAATGCAGTATTAGTGGAGTTTTCTTTGATTTATCATTATAGAATATGTACCGATTTTCTTCGTGATGTTTGACTGCTTTTGTCGAGATTGAAAGTTCGTCTTAGCGAAAGAAAAGGTCGGGCGGGTGAATTTCTCGTCCCCATCATGACTTTGGAGAGTATGTAACAAATTTTCTTATATACGCATAGGAAAATGAGAACATACTACTTTAATAATTTGCGTTGGAAAAGAAAGGAAATAATAAAGGAAAAATCTCGACCGATGCTGGATCGGGTCATGCGCTCCGAATTACATCCCTCCGTTCACCGGAAGCCAAAGCTCGATTCAGCTCAGTCATCCCCACGTTCGCGCACGTGAACACCACCCTCTCCGCCTGCCCCCGGCCACCGCTCGCCGCCGGGCTCTCCGCCCTTCCCCACCGGCAACCCCCGTCCCCGGCCACCTCGCACCACACCGCCGTGCCCGGATCCGAATCCCTGCTCAAGTACACGAAGTCGCCGGCGCAGCACACGCTCATCGACGACGCGCAAAACCTCTCGCCCTCCATCTTCCTCACCATCTCCGGCGGCATCTCCCCGATCACCCTCGCCCTCCACGTCCCTCGCTCCACTTCCCACGCCCTCACGCCCTTCACATTCTCTTCGCTCCCCAGCAGGCCCACCAGGATCAGCCGGCCGCTGCAGCACCCGACGAGGCAGCAGTACACGTCCCCGTGCGGACGCAGGTCGTGCGGCCCGTGCCACGCATCGGCCTCGGGGTCGTACGAGTGCGTCACGCCCGACAGCTTCTCCGTCACGTACATTCTGTCCTCGTCCGCGGCGACCGAGAGCCCCGCGGAGGCCGACCTGTCCTTGAGGAGTGCGGGCATCACGGATCCGCACGCGCCCCACACCTCGGTCCTGAGGTCGTAGGTCTCGACGGCGAGGGGGTCGTCGTCGAAGTCGAAGGCGCCGCCCGCGACGACGAGGCGGTGGCCCACGAGGGCGACGATGGGGTCGGCGCGCCACACGAGCGGGGGGGCCGCGTGGCGCCACGTCAGGTGGAGGGGGTCGGAGGAGAAGGAGAGCCTGGAGGGGGAGAGCATGAAGAGGAGGTTGGAGTGCGACGACGACCGGAGGGTGGAGGCGTGCTTGGCGGGCTGGGGGAGGCAGACGTCCAGCCACACGCCGGAGCGGGGGTCGAAGGCGCGGGCGGAGACGGCGTAGGGGGGGCGGGCGCTCTGGGAGTGGACCAAGAGCCAGGGCTTGGCGGGGTTCAAGTGGCGGAGGGAGGAGGAGACAGCGCGCTCCCAGGAGCGGGACACGCGGGAGGCGGAGACGAGGTCGGCGAGGGGCACGTGAGCGAGCGTGAGCTCGAGGATGTCGCCGAAGAGAGGAGGCGGAGGAAGTGGCGCTTCGCCTTGCTGGGTGTCCATATTTTCAGGCGAACTCGTGGTGGGGGTGTCAAGGAAAGGAGATGGAAGGGGATGGTTTATATATAACGGGGTGGACTGGTGCTGTTGCTGGCTGATGCTGCTGGGAAGTGGGAACGTGGAGGAGTGACCGAGTCTCTAGTGGCAGGCAGGCTTGGCTTTGGCTTTGACCATCTTCTTATCTATATCTGCGATGGGATGTAAATTCATTATATCTCTTGGCGAAGAATCCCGAGAGGAATCTGTTCCGTGGCGGTTGATGCCTTGGACGCGGCCAAAACCCGTATTGGCAACTTTGAGAGGGCGAGTCATTGATTTCGTAAGGAACCCAACCTCGAGTAAAGAATATTGGCTTTTATGATTATGCCATGCCATGAGAATTATGTCGACCTAAGTTATGATTGGCATAGATTTGGCCAGTAGGTGATTTGACATTTGAGAGCCCATTCACGACTATGCTTGCATCTGTGGAGCTTAAGCTCTGAGAGTTTTTATGCAGGGATGTAGGAGCATTATGTTTCTTGGTTTTTTGTGGGTCTAGGCCTCAAAAGGAGCACTCGAAGCAATCTTAATTAGAAGATGGCGATTATTAAGGGGCGGGTGTTTGATTTTTGAATAATTCAACCGGACATTTCTTGTCTGATGCGGGACTTAAAATGCCACAGATGCATATCCCTCGTAGCTCTCGATATCGCGTGCAGATGCATCTCGGACCCTTTCTATTTTTCTCGACGAGGTATTACGTTTTGAGCGGGAAGTACGGAGTTCATTTTCAGAGAAGAGTCAAATATTGCCAACTGACATGTCAGGTGCCGTAGGAGGTGGTAAGTAAGCGAAGGCATGTGCGTGTTCTTAGTAAAAAAGGAAGACTTAAGGCGCCGGAATGGAACGCGATGAGAGATGACCGAGGTTGCAGAAACGGTCACGGCTGGGAGAGAAGCCGCCCGAGGTTGACCGCATCTGAGGCCTACAGCCTCATTGCCACGTAATCCCTCCCTCTCTCATTGTCTTCGCGTGAAATAATTATTCCCCCATTAGCGTATTAGCTTAGCCACCTTCCCTTTAAGCTCAAGGCAGTAAGCACTCCATTGATCAGCAAAAGCAGCCGTGATGAACGGATCTCATTGAGCTTGCATTCGGCAGTCGCCAGATTTGCTGATGGCCCTTCTTCACCTCTACTTCGAAACGAACGTAGTTTCCCTGAAGCTTGTCCGAGGTTGACTCTCGCCGGTTTATCAGTCGTTTCTCGCGATTTTCTTGATTCTCTGCAACGAATTAGGACAACGTTGGACATGTGAACGATTTGACTTTCAGGTGGGCACGTTCGCACGGGGAAGAGGCTGTGCCCTCATCTCACGGTTGCCATATTTTCTCTGCCCTTGACATTTTGACAGCAGCTGCACCAGGTCGCGCGACCATCGATCATATATCGGGCACCGTTTTCAGTGCTTCCGGTGCAAGAAAAAACAAACGAAGAAGAACTTCCTTTCAATCTCCATCGGTCCTGCGAAGACAAAAGCATCCCCTCCTGTTCAGAAGAATTTTTGCCGCTGCTCGACACGAAGTTCTCGATAAGTCTCGAAAGACAAAACGCATCCGAAGCGTGGACAATGTGATAGTGAACGGATTTTTTTAGGCGACCTAACGATTAGGCCGAGTTGAATTTCCAACGGAATGTAGTGTGCCGAATATCAATAGATTTCACGCGGTCCCTTTCTGTCTACAGGCTTGTGCGGTTGCTGGTGCAGGATCTCAGATCTTGAAGCAACCAAGTGCAATCGCGTCGGCCGATCTTTGTTTAGTGGCCCATGGCATTGGCTGCTCACCAAACCTCACCACCTACCCCCCCATGCATCTGCCTGGCTAGAAGACTCGAAACCTCTGTTCCTGCCTTCCTGACTCTGAGTTAAAAACGGGTCGTTCGTGGGATTCGAAATTAAAGAAAGCTCTTTTCCTACCTTAGGATCGTAGGGCCACGTCTCCAACTGGAGCTGTTCTCGGGAGTACTTTGATCAAACATGCGCGGATACAAGATAAGTGAGCGGGAGATGCACCTACCATTCTCGAGTACCGTTTGTTTTCGGCATAAGGACACTAGAAGTGTCAAAAATTTCTTACGAATGTCACTTTGGTAACAAAAGTTTTTTCCGGATCATTTAAATGCCACTTCAAAAAAAAAAAATTCACTTAAGAGCCAATTTCGATTTGGATCGCCGGAAATCCGATGTGCCCACATCTTATTAATTTCTCCAGCTGACGTGGCTCACCGGCTGTATCTAGTTAGCATATATACCCCTCAACGACGTCGTCTACATGTTTTGCATCAAATATAAACCCTAAATCGACCATTCAACAAAATTCTCAAATTTGAAACCCTAAATCAACTGTTCAACCAATTTCCCAAAAATTAACCCTAAATTGAAACCCTAATTGAACCGTTCAACCAGTTCCCCACAATTGCACCACGAACCGAGCCCCTATCCCCCCGGACCCCTAATTTTTCCAACCAATTGAGCGAGAGAGAGGATTGATAAACCTCGAGTGAGTGATTGAGTGAGAGCGATGGCAAGCGAGCGACGGCGATGGCAAGCGACTCAATGACCGTGACCAAAGGATGCCTATTTTGAGGGGTGCTCGTGCGATGTTGTTTTTGGGGTGGTCTTTGTGGGACGTCATTTTTAGCCCACGTCGTTTCGTGCATCGTCGTTCGGGATGTCCATGTGGACTCATTTTTAATATAAAAGATGTCAATTCAGCTTTAGCTTCTTCTTTTTTTCTTGTATAAAAGCCACGTAATTTTTTTGATCGGAATTACTCGCCGGAGGCACTTAAATGATCGTTTTTTTCTCCGATTTGATACTTAAGTGAACCGGTGAAAACTTTCGGCATTAAATTGAGTGCCGTACGAAACTTTTGGCATTTCTGATGTTCTTATGTCGCTTGTTTTGCTTAATTAGGGAACCAGTCATGACAGGACGGCGACGGTTGATCTCCTCTCAAACTCAAACTCAGTTAATCTTTAAATCCACCCTGAACTGATTGCAGACTCGAGATGGGACTTTAAAAGGAGTCTTACGTCTTCTTGATTAAATAAATATACGAGAGCCCCATATTTTGTCTGAAATTCGTTCTTTTATATTTTTTCAATGAATAGATGCATTGATATAGAGTTAAATAATATTATAGTTTCCTCCTGAGTCGTATTTCAGAATACCGGTTGACTACATTTTCAAACCCATCGCAAATCCGACAAGATTTTAGATAAACTATGCAAGACCATCGTTATGCAGATGAAAAGCCACGCATGAGACTGTCGAATGCATTAGACGCTCTAGTGAAAGGCTTGAAGTGGCCTGCTCCAGGCTCGCGAAGCATACAAGCTGTTTTTTTCCTGTTTCCCGCATTTGGAGAGCAAGGTTCTGGTCTCGAGATGTCGTTAGCTATGTTGTATCGAATTGCCGAGGGAAAAAGTGTCAAAAAAGTCCTAAACCTTTTACATTGGTGCCAATTTAGTCATAAACTTTTTTTTTGTGCTAATTCAGTCCTCCACCTTTTAATACAGTGCCAATTTAGTCATAAACTTTTTTTCCTTTCTTCTTTTTCCTTTTAAGAAAATACCTCTATTTCGAACTTCTTTTTGGAATTTACTCTATTTTCTATTTCGAACCTTTGGCCAGTCAATGGAAGAAGAAGAAGAAGAAGAAGAAGAAAGGAACAAAGAAAAAAAATCAGAAAAAATAATAAAAAAATTGAAAAATATTAAAATATCATTAAAAACTGTCCACGTCAGCGCCGGAGGTGCCACATAATCCGGTCGGCGTCCATGTCAGCAATATCGGGCCAAAATTAGCCGGAATGACTAAATTGGCACTATATTAAAAGGTTTAGGACTGAATTGGCACGAAAAAAGGTTTAGGGTGCGTTTGTTTTGCGGAAAATGGACCATTTCTAGAAAATACTTTTCGGGAAATCATTTTCCAGGAAAATAAGCTTATTTTTCGGTGTTTGGCTAAAACCTAAAAAAGACTTGGAAAGTATTTTCAGTTGTTTAGTGAGGAAAATCAGATGGTGAAAATTATCAAAAAATTTTGTATTTTAAAATTATTTAAAATTATTTTTTATTTTTAAATTATATTTATTAAGAAAAGAAAATACATGAATTTTTTCTTTCTTAGAAAGAAAAGAACAAGAAAAGAAACGAAAAGAAAAGAAAAAATATTAACAAACTCAAGATGAGCAATTCCGGAAAGTGTTTTCACCTTCTTAGATTAGAGAATTCATTTTCCAAAAATTAAATATAATATTTGTGTTTATCGGAAAGTATTTTCCGTTGACCAAATCATTTTCGGAGAACCAAACGGAAGAAAGTCCGGAAAACATTTTCCAGGATAATACTTTTACCAAAACAAACACACCCGTGTAAAAGGTTTAGGACTTTTTTTTTTTACACTTTTCCCAATCGCCGAGGCTCACGGGTCCTAATACATTAACCATTAAAGAAGTACAAAGCCAAGGTGTGAAGGTTTTGCGCATCTACTCGGCATTGATGAGTACAGAGGATACAGAAAGCTCAGGCAGATAAGATGATCTTGCGTTATCGGATGAGGGGACGATGCAGATGTCCATAGCCTAACGCTCTCGATTGCATCGAATACTTAGCCTTGTCTAACTGCAATAATAACCAGTAATCAACATAGAATAAGCGATGATTGTCACAGATGGATATGTTGCAATTTAGGATTCACCTGTGAATATTTAATTGCTACACTCGTACTTCAAAATCTAATGCCTCTCCGCAGTTCGTATCAAGGCTGTTAATGATATTCATCGCAATTCGTACGATGGCGAGAGTGATCCGGCAATTATCTCATCGCAGATAGACTCAAAGATTCTTGTTCGCGTGATGTCCCTAGCAATGTGGATTGTCCACTGGTATAAATGAGCTTTGAGATGATAAAATGATTTTATTCTCAGGGACCGCGGTTGTGGCCCCAGATTATGGTATTGAAATTACCTTCATAACATTGAAAAGTTTCCGGTACAAATGACTATTGGGATTCAACTGAACAATTGGAAATGTCCATCGAAATGCAGAAGAGAAACAAAGCTTATCGAACTCCATAACTCAAGCAGCCACGGTGATGCAGTCGATGGCCTGTTTGCATATCCCAGTCATAGTGGCTTCCGGCCCATAAACCTACGAAACAGATCAACAGCAAAAGTTTAGCACTTTGCCAAGTTTCTAACTGATAACAATATATAGCTGTCTCATGTGGTGCACTTGATGTTTTCTATGCGCTTAGTAAAAGAAGCTTTCAACAAGGCACTTACATCAATGGGAATGCCGATTTCCTCTCCGAGGGCTCGCATTTTTGCAAGACCCTTCTGGTAATTGGGACCTCCTCTTCTCACATAAATGTGCATTCTCGCAGCTTTAAGCTTTGATTCCTAAAAAAACGAACAGCGCGAAGTTTAGTATCAACTTGTGCTGAAAGAGATCGCAAAATATGTAATGCGAGATGTGCAACAAAGCCTACCTTCTCCTTCAGTGCACGGATGATGCCATTAAATGTGGCAGCGACATCAGTGAAGTTAGCTATACCTCCTCCGATAACAAGGGCTCTCTTCTGGCCATCAGGCTCAGCAGTTGCACACTGCAAAAGTTTGATGAACGAACTTGTCACAATCTAGTATAGATGAATATCAATAATAATGTCTGAGCAAGTGCATCTCATATGCTATCGGATTAGAATTCTGAGCAAGCTTGTCAGTGTAGTCATTATTATGCTAACTGGAGCAATTGAAAGGTCAAGTTTTAAACTGATGGTATATTCGTATGCATATGCAGAAAAATGTCTCATTACAGATGAATAAAGTTTTTACATCGATCACAACTCTGGCATACTGCAAGACTTCCTCTTCATTGGGGGCTCCACTATATTCAGCATAATTCCCAAGTTCGGAGGCAAAGCCAAGATCGCCAACCTGACACGGAATAAGTAACGTATGAGCAGGCAGCAGGTTCAAAAAAATAAAAAAACTCATGAATATGCTTCTAAGATAAAATCCCAAAGGAGAAAAAAACTCACAGTATCTGCATAAATGACACTGGCACCGCCTCCAGCGACCATTGTCCAAATTCTTCCCTTTGGGTTCAAAACCGTGAATTTCAGAGATGCACTAGTCTGCAGGCATACAACAGTATAGAAGAATAAGTGTACCCTTCATGTACAAAAGCTACTTAGCTTGCAATCTGAATGTCCATTGAAACTTTTGCGATAGTATAAGAGGAAGATGCAGACTCGTGATTTTGAAAGCAAAGATGTCGGGGTACTTGACAAAGAAATATTGAATTCCAAAATGCATATGAAAAGAGGAGGATGAGGGAGGCTTTTTCCCTTTGAGAAAGATTTGTGAACACTCCATAAATAAAGCAACAATAAGAAGCGCAAGGAAAATTATACGATCAATTTCAAATTGTGCATTAAGCATCGTATGGAATGGTTGCATGTTTAGTTTCGCATTTATGACATTATTACCTTTTCATCTAGGCCATGAATGAAGTTCTCTGTGGGGCTCATCACTCTTCCAAATGGCAGAGGAAATTCAATCTTGCCCCATCTGCAAACACAGGATTAAGTTAGAAGTTGCAAACCCTTATTAAGTTGCCATTTCTTTGTCCTTTGTTCCGTATAGACGGGGGAGAGAGTAGTGAAGGAGAA